ATCTCGAAGAGATAGGATGTGCTTCTATCAAAGAATGCTGAGAATACTATAGACAGTTATAAGAATCAGTCAGTTATGTGCCATGCATGATATACGCTTAGAAGATCATGTATTATGACTGACGAGGCAGATGTTTTTCCCACAGTAGGTTACCATTTCTTTCTTTGGTAGACCAGTTGCCATACAAGGCTATAGAACCCGGTTTGTTCTGCTATTTATTTGGGTGAGAAGAAGATTCATACCTTTCCCAAACACGTAAGTGAATGTAATGGATTCGACTGGAATTCGAACACGGCTCTCCGATTCCTCAATCCGAGCCGCTAAGGTTTTTCAAAAAGATAGGAGCGAACAGTCGAGTTACCATTATTGGAAAGAATAGTGAAAAATAAAGGCTTGGAGAATTTAATACACACAGATCGTACTGCTTGGAAGTTTGGGCACTGTGGTTTAATGGTTGTCTCGCTAGACCAATTACGACTGAATAGTGAGTTCTATTCTTACTGAGTACCCCATATTTTCGCCCTTGTGCCACATCTAACCTACGCTTAGAAAATCGCCATACTATTTCCATGGTAAGCAGGTGTCAACACTTAGAAATGACTTGATAAGTTCGCGTATCTTGATTTTCTAAGCGGAGCTTATATGTGGCACATGGCCGAAAATATGGGGCACCTATTGAAAATTGAAATCAATACTCAGTCGTAATTGTTCTAGAGAGACAAGCTTGCTTACCAGTACACCGCGTTGAGGTCACTTAAATGATTTTCTGAATGTAGCTAAGATGTACAAGGCCGAATGTGTCAGGAACCCAGTGAGGATCAAACTCAGTACTCTATTTTAATTGATCTAGCGAGATATTACACCACATCCATGTGCCTAATGTCTGAGTAATTGGATAAGAGAACAGGGAAAAAATGTGTTTCTGTGAAACGGCCCGAGTTAGAACAGCCAGAGGCAGAATGATGTGGAAATGTAGCATTGTCACATTTTCTGTGGGTGGCAGGTATTTGGTGAGCTACTCACGTCCCTTTTCATTGAGCCATATCGACTGTCTTCGGTTAAATAAGCCAAATCGCGCCGTCTCGATTTCTCACCGGAAAACCAAAAGGCATCTTTTTCCGAAGCGGAACGTTTGCTTGTAATATCAAATGGGAAGAAGGCTTGCGGTCTTTATCGGCTTAATTTTATTGTCTACAGAAGGGAAATATTGATGATTCACTTCAGCTATGGAGGAGGTCAAAGTCGGTTAGAGAATTTTCTTACGCCAGGTATTTTTGCCGTCATCCGCTAACCAACAATCAAAAAAAAAAAATAACTAAACAAAAAAAACAAAAAAAAAAAAACAACAAGAAACAAACAAAAACAACAAGAAAAAAACACAAAAAATCCAGAAATCTTGTCTTCTTGCTCGTTCCTAATTAATCAATTCAAAGACTATTGAAAAGTTTTCAACACACCCTGTTCGTTTTACTCTTATCTTTTTGCGGGTCTAGTAACTGTCCATTGGCCCTCCCTGTCAAATATATCGTATTTCAGAAGGACGATATATCTCCATGAACAGCATGGCAGTTTTTTTATTTAGGTGATCTTATTTTTTTTTCTTATGCATAAAATTAAGTTACTCTCCTCTATTCTAAACAAAGGATTTTACAAAAAGTGGTGACCACTTCAAATCCTGATTATTTATACAATGACGTTCACCCTCTACAATGCCCGAGCGCCACTCGAGTAAGAGCGTTGCATAGTAAGAGGCACAGCTTATAATGATATGTGGGGAAGGTTACTGGTAATCCTAGTTTTGAACAGGTTAAGATTATAGAAATCGAGGAAGCAAAATATTTTGTGTCGGTTCCACAAAGCAGAGGTTGGTGGGAAGAATCTACTCGAGAGGAATGAACATCTCCCCAGTGGAATTAGAAAGGAATCATGGTTGTTCACTAAAGTGTGCGTAGCAATGCGGGTCTTAGCTGTGAAGTTTAGAACTGGTGGAAGTAAGGAATGTAGTTCGTTTGAACACGTTCCATGGAAATAGCGATAAAGCAGTAAGAGGTCTGCGAAGTTTCGTCTGTGAGTTGTAGAGTGGGGAATAATTTGTTACCTACGCGGCGATGCTTTTCGACTCTATTGACACTGAAAAATTAAAACTGGGCAGTTCCTGTCCGTTTATTTCCTCAGTAGTCCATTTTTCGCCTGATCTAGCTCTTGTGACGGTAGGACATAGAAGGAGGAGTCCAGTGCTTAACTGAGCTGGTATCAGTTGAAATTTGTTGCGCAAACAAAGCCAATAAATATTTTGTTCTTGTTTTCAAGTTTATTAAAAAAAAAACGATTGCTCATTTAAAATCGTTAATGTTATTTTCTTTGAAGAATGTGTCTGCCAAATCTTTGAGTTGCAAAAAATAAAAGTCGAAGACAGTGAAGAAGCATTTAAAGTTTTGATTGATTACAACATTAACACTGGCAATACTTACACGAATAATTATTATAATTGTTACCATTTTGTATGCGCAATGGTAATGGGGAAATTATTCGTTTCCAAATATTCGACATTCATTGATGGAAGAGTTTTACTCTCAGTTAAAAGTTATCAAATATAATTATTTGTAAAGCGGTTTTTCACAGAATTGCACACCATCACGGAATCTATTAGCGCTTTCTAATATTAATGTGAATTTCTTTCCAGGCATTTTTTTGCAAATCTGTTCAGACATATCTAACCTATATACAACCGCTTCCTAAGATCAATCGCGAAAAAATTGCTATAAGCTCAGAGTTTTGGCAACGACCATTCTTCTTTGAAACATTGAAAACTGGCGCTATCAAATCACATACAAATAATTGTATCCAATAACAAAAACTACATCACTTGATGGCTACCAACAGCAGGAACAACTAACATGGATAGCACATGTAATTCAAAGAGAAAATAATGGCATAATCAAAATGTTGACTTTCTACACTGTTTGAAATATAAGGTTAGGAAAGCAACCACCATTAATACTGGAAAAAACGATAACGACGACTTGCTCTGAAAAACCTGTTTCCCTAATATATATATATATATATATATATATATATATATTATAAATGACATCCGAAAACAGTAGTGGCTTCTCGGTCAATGAATGCTAAATATTTCCTTGTAGGGAAACGGCTTACATTACCATTGAAATTACCATTAATTTTATCGTCTTCCTTACATCGTCATTATTTTATTCGTCTTTGTTAGTTTAACAAATCAAGAAAAATTTATTGAAACAAAACAAGTTCAGTTGACCACTGATGACAATTCCAGAACAACGTTTCTATAAACATTTTTTCTATTCTCTGCTAGCCGCAATGATGGAGAGAGGATTACCTCGAACCATCGCCAGTGAGACAAACTGCACGAGCCACTCCGTTTCGCGAGGCTCGTCCCTTAATCGAGACGCAATCGCGCCAATCCTCCGAAGGAACGCCATCGAACGAGGGCCAATAACCTTTGAAGTCTCCACTGCCACAGGAGTAAAAGAAAAATCTATCAGCAAGAGAAGATTATTTAACTATTTTTTATTCATCTCTGCGTCCCGGGCGACGGATCCCGGCTCAACCGCGGACCTGATCAAATTACCGGCCGAAAATGTATCCGCACAGGTCGCATCCCAGATCAACGACTTTCCCATTTTAAAAGGAAACATGGTAATGCCATCCAGCCGCTTTCCATCACCGGGGTCGAGGCCTACGGGTTAGATTTGGGAAGAGAACCCAACTGCATCTAAACCTCTTTTGATGATATTGTTAATGGCTGCATGCCGTGGAAAACGGCCGGCACTACGACGACAGGAGAGAGGATGCAAACCAAACTCATCGATGGAGGCTCTACATCTGCATCTGTGACACTCACATAATTTGTGTCCAAAGACGGATTCCGACTCCGACTCGAGTGCACTCATTATCTAGAAGGGTACCGGTAGATGAGGCGGGCACTGCGTTGAGCCAGGCGCCACTATTCGTTTGTGAAGCAGATAGTAGACAGGCGAGGCGATGCGGATCCAGAGAGAGCCTCAAATTAGTAAAGTTAGCCTCGTATTTTATTTTATCCCAGCTTTTTTGTTTTGATGTGTCTAGTGGAAGAGAAAGTAATTCTTGGGTCCAGATGTAGCATGCTTGCTCGAAAGAACTACCCGAGAAACAATGAAACGATCCACCCAGTATCTCATCAATTAATTCGTGACTAGACGAAAGTGAATAAAGATATACTGGAAGGGCCAAATCTACCGCTGATCGAAGGCCCACGTCTCCGAAACTCAAAGAGAGATCCAGCCTGTGTCGTCGAAATTGACGTTGCAAATTAGCTCCGCACATCTCTTAACTCTGATATCTGTCTCATTTAAGAAATCCTGTTCGGGGTAGCAAGAAGCACATCGGAGAGTGTAGAGGAAACTCAGTAGCGAAAAACTGTTCTTCAAGAGGAAGAGGGCTGGGTGTGCATTAAGTAATTGCAATTTCTCAGTCATTCTTGATAGAATGACATGCTTAGTATACAAACACTCTCGAATGGCAATTGGAAATACTGGAGAACCAAGAATATGTAATTCCTCCTTAGATGTTATTTTTATATCCTCAAGGATGTGTCTGATATCCCGGATAGCACTCTCGAAATCATCTGCACTATAATTCATTTTATTATCTCTGACTTGGACGAGTTAATCTCAAGTCTAAGCAGAGATAAAGCAGGAATAACTCGTCGGAGGTCAGCAGCTACGGCCTCGATGGATCCTCCCAACGTTGCATCGTCAAGACGCCATATATTGTAAAGAGAGGCGATGGAACGAGCTACCCCGTCAATAGCCATCGCAAATAGCAGCGGACCAAGTGGATCACCTTGCTGGATTCCAGTAGCAGAAGAGATAATATTATCGGAGGCGATCAACATATTTGGATGACTATACGAAAGATGAGCCAATTTAAATATGCAAGGAGTCCGTTGATGGCAAACTTCCAGGGCATGATCCCTTCTGATGCTATTGAAAGCGTTTTTCATATCCAATTTTAATAAGGTACGTGGGGACGCAGGTGATGTATTCCCGAAAAATGATCTTGTGAACCGCAGCTTCACACCCGCCCTGTATGCCTACCCCGAGCTGGACAGGTCGCAATTCATGCCCTATCTCCTTCACAACAACTCTACAAGCAATTTTTGCCGCGAGACGACGAAAAATGTTACCAACAGCGATAGGGCGGATGCCTCCGTCTTTTTTTTTTTAAAGCCGTCAAGTAGGCTGAAAATATCAAGTCGCGACCATGTTGGGGGCTGTTATGGATGTTTTCAAATGTTCACCAGCTTCGACAGTGTGGGCAGAAATTAAGTCCTTGATATGAGCAGGTCGAAGGCCGTCTACCCCCCCACTGCTGCTTCTCGAGAAAGACTTCAGAGCGGCAACCATTACTTCATTTGATATTTCAATATTTGAATCATTGTTTTCCAACTGAACAAATCTGGCATCTGATGGTGGCGCAGGATGTTTCCGACGGAGCTCTGTGAGAACTTCTCGTGTAGTAGCTAGTATAGTATAAGATGAGGCCAATGCTCTAACTGCAGCTGAGACATCGCCCTCGATCAACTTAGCATTGACGAGGGCACGGAGTCTCTTATAATTGTCGACTGTAGATGAAGGATGAAATCTATTAGGATTAGAAAGATTAGAAAATTCGCTGGCATTTATTTTAGACGAATTGAATAAAGAAATGTTACTTTTCATAATAGATTAGACAGATGATGTAGGGTCATTATTGTAAGGAATGCCAAGCACAAGTGTTGCGAAAGAGAAAAGGTGATCCCAGTCAAGCGAGCTGTTCAAGTTAAGTGCCTGGTCTATGGCAGTAGCCAAGGCATCGGGTGTCGGGATTCTAACAGATTTAGGGATTTTTAAGGGTACCCCCCGGAATTGTCTAAGGAATGAAATTACCCTCAAAAGTTCAATGGCATCCCTCTGGGTCGGTTTATTATGTTGATGGATCACGCTATCTTGTAGAGCCGAGAGAGACAGAAAATAGGAACAACTCCAAATAACCAGAGACGCTGACGCATTTCTAGTCAATCCCACGCAAGATAAATGAAAAGACCGTTGACAATTTGAACAAATTCTTATTCTTTTACGCTTATTAATGCTGCCACAAGAAAAGCAACAATCACATTCCAGCAAAGAAGAAGGGGGAGACATTTTCTTCCCTCCTTATTCCTAAAATTAATGTAAAGCGTTTTTCTGCTAATTCTTGTAATCTCCTTTTGACATTAATTTCCTTTGAAATCAAATCTTCGAAAAAATACTGTTACAATTCCTTTACAATAATGTTTACGGTTTTCAACTATTAATTATTAATTCAATAATGATTAATCCATTTACTATTCAAATTCATATTTACCTTACTTAATGCTTAATCCGACATTTTTACATTTTTAAAAATCCATTGAAATCAGCAGAGTTTTGAAAGGTCTTCTCTATTTGAATTCCAAGCGTTTGTTGTGTCATTTAATTCCAACTTTCACAATATTTTGTTACTTCTCCATCTGGAAATGTTCAAGTGATGTGGCTTTTTTTATTTTTCTAAAGATTTTCGATTTTTATTGTACAGCGACAAGTTATAGGGTCTGATGAAGGATGAAGGATCATAATCTTTAGGATTTATAGACTTAATCCATTTGAAACCAGTTTTAACGAATGATCTCTAACAACGATTGTATATAGATGATAGTTTAAACATATCTGAATAAGTCGTTTGTTATGCATCATATCCATATGGAATAAAATTGGTAGATGCAAGAAAAAAATCAATCATTTTGACTATGAAATTACAAAGGGAATATTTAGCGTAACATTCAAGCAGTATATATATATATATTTGTTGTTTTAAACTATCATTTTGATAGATTAATTATTCGGATGTTTCTGGCGCCTTTTGCTTATGCTTAATTTTTACATCACTCTGTAGTCTTTTCTTCAGACTGCATCCAGAGAAAGTTTGTGTCAATATAAACAAATATGTCTTTTTGATTTATCAAACGAAAGTATCTGTTATTAAAATAGGTTAGACATGTACGAATAATATGGCCGAGATGCATGGCATGAATATGTAATACAATTGATAAATGAAAGGAAAAATAAATCGTTTCAAGGGAAATTTTAAGAGGTTATTTAGTTAATCATTCAGGGGAATATATTTATATCTGTTGTTTAAATTCATCGTAACGATTTACTAATTATTTGGATTTTGTCGCGTTCATTATTTCAGATTTCATTTGAGATCACTGTGTAGTCTTTTCGCCAGACTGTATCAACCGATAGTTTCTGTAAATAAAAACAAAGATGAAAATAGTAATCCAAAAATGCATAAGGTATGAAAATGGATAATTTATTGGAAGGCCTGTGAAGGGAAAACTTGTTTACAAGTTGTAAGCGCGTCTTGTGGAAAAGCTCTTGATTCTGAATGGCATAAAAGGAGAGTGGATTGCCTGGAGAATATTGAAGATATTTTCAAGCAAATTCTTCCCATCTGCAATGGCTTAAGGGCAAGGGATAACTTTTTTTTGTTCTTGAAGAGTACTGCTTTTACGTCATTTAACCGAAAAAAACAATAACTTTCCATTGAAGTATTGTATTATTGCCATCTACTCACTCGTTCAGCCGATATGATTGGTTATCGTATTTTTATTTGGAGAAAAAATATCATAACCAGAAATCAAAATGGCTTCCTACACTCAATTTATACTCAAAACATCTCTTGTATAAATAGCAATGCTGACAGAAAAAAATCGATGGAAAAAATACAAACAAGAAAAAAAAAAAGAATGATGTCGTCTTCTAAAATAGACTGCTGAATTTACCTATATAGGATACCTTACAGAATTTACAGCTTGTGCTTACACACCGAGAAAATGATTTGGATAGCTTTTCTTCTTCAAATGCGAAAACGACTTTCTAAAATAAACTTAACATTTAACCCAGTAAAACTTGGACAATAACAAAATATATATAATACATTTCTTTCAACAGAATTTAAATTTTCACAGATAGGACTGATTGTCAAACAAGGTAAGAGAACTCTGCTTTTAATTCTAACTGAAGCAAAGAAGGGATGTATTCAACCTGGGTCAAGCTTTATCAAAGAATAGTGTTGATAATTTATACTATTTATATACGGCATAATGTCTCCCGGCCTTCCACCGGTGTATATTGATCTAGGTAATCTTCAAGGAATTCCGAAGTGAACCCTTTACTTAATCAAGGAGAGTAGACTTTTCTCGTCACACTGCTCATGTCTAGGCATATCGTCTACTTCTCGTGTTATTTAGTATTGTTCAATTAATGCTCACCCGTTTCCACTGACTACAAGTATACACTGGACCCAGGGATTGAACTCATAACCATTAAGTCATCAAATTCACAAAACAAAGCTTTTACCACTATACCATTGATCCGTGATGAAGTAAACGTATAGCTTTAAAATGTAGTGCTGATTAGGCTACTTCTGGCGTTGGGGGTGGTCATGTTTTGACTGCTGCTGTTTGTGTCTTTCTTTCTGTTGTGGATTCCGAGGGTAATATTGTTAGTAAATCCTGGAATGCGGTTAGTAGCAATAACATATAAACATATACAGTCTCGAAGTAGGACTTCCTTAGAGTCTACGTGCTTGTAACTGACTTCTACAAGCGGTTACCTCACACTATTACTCTATCTCCAACTCAATCTCAATCTTCTTACTATCTCTACTCTGACTGACTCTGGGTATTTAATGGCAGCAGTCCAAGTAACACTTTGGTCGAGTCCACTTATATGAAAAAGGGGAGGACCCCATAACACTTTCTTTATTAGCGGCTTCCATATTGTATTATTTTATGTGCTATACCTACTAAGGAGATATAGTCGAGTCTACAGGGAATTACTCAGAACGATATCCACCTGAGGAAAGCCGGTGGGCAAAACGAGCGAAATGTTATGATAAAAACAATTAAGAGGAGGAAAATAGTCCCAATATATATAGTACGCATAATGATAAATCCCAGAAATGCAGACAAAAACGAGACTTGATATGTTTAAAATCATAAAACATAAAGCAAAATTAACAGTAAAAACAAAGCCCTGGTCTCACAATAAAGGTACGAGATACAGGTTATAAATGAAGTCGTTTTGGTTAAATTTAACGACTAAATTTAATAATGTGGGCCATGATTTTGTGTAGTATTGCAGCTCAGAGGAGACACCAGGTTTGTTCTCTGGGTGTAGCTTTCTCCACTCAAATACTTGGGGCTTAAAAGTAACCCTTCTAATTGTTTGCATACCCACGAATTAATACCATGAGAATTCTTAGCAGTAAGCGGATTTAATTAGCAGGTTGTAACCTCCTGCTATAGACGAGCAAGGCAGAGATGAAGCTTGGGTGAGAGAGGAAGGTGAACAGTCTAACGGGTTTATTCCCATTGACGTCGTTCTCAGTGGAACCTCTCCGTCTCCCTCTCTTTTCGCGGACAGTGGTCACTGGCTTATAGAGATCATTGTTCTTTGTCTTTTCATCTCTGTCTCAAAAAATGATTTATCTTCATTCAGTGACTTTATTTGTACGATCTTTTGCAATGTACTTGCGAAGACCACTTCACTTTCTGATAAACATCAGGAAAATAAATACCCGAGTGATTTTTTGTAACAGCGCAGCTCTTTCTTCATTTTAATAAGATATCAGCTGACACTGATGTCGCGACACTAGCAGGACAGAATAGGAAATCAGCTAGCAGCGTTAAAACTGTTTGTTGCCTGGCTATCATTCCCAAACACCGCACTGTCATCCGTGTACAAAATCACTCGAGCTAGCCAGATGTTATGTAACAGCTCTGTAATCTTTTTTTGTTTCTAAAAAAAAATCCTCCTGTCTCGCAGTTCTCTGCCCAGCTTTTGGGATGTGTCCTTGGTCGTATCGAACTCTTACAAAAACATCGATATTGCTGGAAAATTTATTCAATAAAAAAATTGCTTGAGAGATTAGTGACCTAAATTGACGCTATAATAGTAGATCAGCCAATGAAAGTAGTTTGCAATGATAATCATGGAGTAAACCTTGCAATACGTAATAATCAATAACCCTTTTAAGAAATTCATTAAAACATAACTACATACAAATAGATTAAAATGTAAATAATTTAATACTTTTATTCATTTTTATAATATTCTAACATTCTACCATAGATCTTATTTAAACAAACAATATTAAAACTAGACATTAAATTGAATGACGATATTTCATTAAAGATAGTGCTAAGAAAATTAAAATACATGTTAATGAAATGAAAATTACGGTTTCGCTTTGGTGTGTGATACTATAATATATTCGTGCTAGCGAAGTAATTTTTGTTTTGTATTGCTTTTCACTACAATCCATGACGTCGAAATGTCTGGGCCTATATAATCTTCGCTAAAATGTCTGTCGCTAAAATACTCGATTGAATCATGGTAATAGAAACAAACGATATAGACATACTTATCCGAAAATGCATTTGGTCTATGACAACGTGTAAAGAACAAAGCATTAGAAAATAAAAGATGATGTCGGAGATTATGACGTTTGAAACATAGAGCTTGCGAAAAGAAAAAAAAAATGTTGCAACTAAACTGAATGACATTTCATTGTCGAACATCGGACAGAATACAGACTGTCAGAAAGACAGAGATACGATAGATAATGACCCGCGTAGCGAAAAGAAACATACTTGAAAAGTAAGATCGCAGTATTTCATACCAGAACGCCGAAGACTTTCTGAGACCTGTCCTCTTAAAACTTAGTGAATGGAGAAAAATTAAAAAAAAAAAAATTGAAGTACAAAAGTCGAGCTCTAAAGAACTCTAAACTTATACTTTAAAGGACAACTTGCACAAATGATATAAATAACTTATTCTTAGTATAAAGCATAAAAACATGAAAAAATATCTGCGTAAAAAGAAAGCAGGGCATCGAAAAAATATGAGACAAAAGTAGATTTTTTAGCACGCAAAAGCCATGGGATTTTCGGAAGCAAAGTCAATCATAGATTGCATGCTAACTGAAATTATATAAAAATTAAAGATGTGATGTGTTTGAGAGATACACATACACACATAAACGGGGGACAGGAGCAGGCAGACAGACAGATAAGGAGAAATAAATGGAAACAGTCAGAAGGAGAGAGAGATAGGAAGACAGAAGTTGCGAGCTTGATTTTAAAGGTGGCGGGTGTCAATACGCACCAATCCCAGTAGGAGTAAACAAACTCTCTAGGAAAGAGGGTACAAAGGTCAATAGTTTGCGTAAATGGTCACGTCGTCCGGTCACAGACAGTTTCACGCTGTCTTGATGTCGTTAGGGCACTGAGCTGTTGCTGAACGTTATTTTCTTGGCTACTGTCCAGAAATGATGGCGTTGTATTAAGGGTTTTATATCAGGAATCTTTTTTCGCCCATGTTTCCTTCATATTTCCGTTTTCGTAGCATTCTATATTGTTTACCATCATGCTCTCTTTCCAGCCGATTCACTGTGTTAGATTTAATGTTTTTCTTTTTTTTGATTCTGATGTTTATTTTTTTTATTATCTAATTATAATGTAAATTTGTTTTGAGTTATGCATATTTTTATTGTTCCATGTATTTTTTTTCATTATTACTAGTTCATTTCTTCTAAAGTCTCCATGTAATCTTTTCTCACACCCTCTCTTTTTTTCCATCAATATTTTTTTTTTATTCTATATTCTTTCAACTATTGGTTTTTCATTCATTTTTGTTTATGAGTTTTGTTGAGGATACATCTTCAGTTTTTTTTCTTTTTTCCTCATTAGTTTGTGTATTTCAACATCTATCTATCTATCTATCTATCTATCTATCTCAGTCTGATCATAACTATCTATCTCAGTCTGATCATAACTATCTATCTCAGTCTGATAATCTCTCTCTCTCAATCTCTTTCAGCTCCGTTTTATTCTCTTTCTCTCTCTTTATATATATATATAATATATATATATATATATATATATATATATATATGTGTGTGTGTGTGTGTGTGTGTGGTGTGAATTGCGTCATGCTTCTCTTTTTATCATAGACGATGCCCAAATTACCATACTATACTGGGCAGTCGACAAAATCAAAAACAAACAACGCGCATGCGCGAAATTAAAATAGAAAATGGCGACAATGTATTCATCGCGCCCAGTATCTATCTAACTAACGATTTATCTAAAATTTATAAATTTCAATATTTTGAAAGCCAAAGACAGTATTATTACAACACTGATTAGACGCTGAGTTTTCACCAGTCGTAATAAACCGCTGTTTTCTCAATGAAGCTCATTGTTTCGACTCACTGTTTCAATGTTTCAATTATATATATATATATATATATATATATATATATATATATATATATATATATATGTGTGTGTGTGTGTGTGTGTGTGTGTGTTCGCAGCGCTTGAAGTTTCGGTTTTCTACCAACTGATCAGGCACGAATTATGACTTTTGATTTTTTTTAAATATATTGTGTCTCAAGGGTGGAATGCTAAATTAAACACAGATTCATAACTCAGATTTAATATAAACTTAATATAATATTATGTTGTAAATAAAAGAATGTAGTACGTAGTTAGGGGGCTATTGTGAAAAAGAAAAAAAAAAGCTTAAAGGTTAAAATAGGAACCCCGGGGTAACTGTAAGTAATAATAGACGTTAAAATGGTTAATCACTATGTAACCCAAAATCTGGGAAGTTCATGTGCTATTTCGATAATATATTTATCCAGAATTAAAAATATTTTAAGAGAGATTTCTTCCTATGATTACAAGCTAACATTATTTCTTTTACGTTTATTAAGTAGTGAGACGTCGTCCCCCCTGGTCGCAGCGTCGACTGTGTCGTTCGATCCCGTTCGCGGCGCCAGCTGTTCGCTCCTCGCTGCTCCAAGTGTGACGTTCTAACCCTTTGGTTAGATGAATACCAGCCTCGTCGTTCCCAACCCGCTTCCAACGCCTGGTTACCAGGGTAACTGCACTGATCTCCGGTCTGCCTACCCACGTTGTGATTAGATCTTAGACAGACGGGATCAAACAGGGATTGGGCCGTATGCAAGCTGAGTCCAACGGGGTGATAACACACAAGAAAAAAAAAAAAACTCACAAGGTCAAAAATATTGAAGAAAAAGGTAACAACTTTTTATATCTAATTGCTCGTTACACAAGATTATTCCTACCTCCCGACCCGTTCTGTGGACTGTGGCACCACGCTTCTACCAGGCAACTTTAAGGCTTCGAGTTGCCTGCTCTCTAGAAATTTGCATTTCGGGGTGTGGTTTGGTTTCAACACTGGGCGCTGATCTCTGCTTGTCGTTCACGGCTGATCTCTCTCGCCGTCCGCGGCGCAAACTCTCTGCCTGTCGTTCACGGCTGATCTCTCTCGCCGTCCGTGGCTGCAACTCAACTCAAACTTCTTCTCTTCAGAGTCTGAATTTTTGTTCACTCATCTCCGCCGTCAGTGCGCGAATTAACTTCTTCTCTTCGGCTTCGGTTGGACGAGCATATTCACTTCGGCTTGGGTTGGACGAACTTCTCTTCTTAGGCCAAACGGACCGGCCTTTCTTGCCCGCAAAAGGGCGAATGAACCGGGCCCGCCGTCCGCGCTCAAACTCCCTCGCCGTCCGCGGCGCAACTCTGATTTCTGTCGGTTGGGGTCCCGCTTTTATTGATGCAGTCAAAAAACTGGGGTGGGTCTGTCGGCGCCAGGGTTTTCTTGATAATTCTAAATACGTATCCACCCTTCTTATTTCTGATTAGGGATTTTCCATTTTCGGTAACTTACTTTCACTCCTACTCCCTTACTGTGCCTCTGGGGGCGTATACCCGCTTCCCCGCTCCTTCGTATGTCATGTGACCGCTCTCGGCTAATGGGGTCCTGGTCGGGCATCTTTTCTCCTCCCTCATGTATCATGTGACCGCCTTCTGGTCGGTATCATTCGTGACGTCTTTAATCGGGCGTGGACAATCCGTGGCTTTGTTCTGGGGGAAGAAACACCTTGCTTAAAGAAACAAAAATTTAAATTGCCCTTTTTGTACGTGACCGAAATGACGCTCTCGGTTTCTTTTACACGCCGTATTTGTCAAATAGTTTATCGCTAATTGGATACGATCTAAGAAAGGGATTTCTCAGACTGGGTGGCGTTTTCGTGAACTAAAAAAAATAATTCACTTTTTCTTTCGGGGCCAAAGGCCTGATAATAAAATTTTTCATTATCTCAAAAAAACATTTTCAGCCAACATCATTCTTGTGTGGCTTTATTTTCAATTCTGGAATGGTCTGAGTTTTCGTATTAATGGTTTGCCTGCATATCCTTAGATAAACTTCCCACCTGTTACCTATCATATTTTTTTTCCATTGTCTCTAAACTTTATTTCTTCAACCAAATTGATAACAAACTTCCATTTTTCGTGGACACGGAAGTAGGTCAGGTGCTCGACCGGGATACCTTCCAACATCTGTAATGTATCAATCGAGTGTGTGTGTGTGTTCGCTTAAGACCTGGTTTTCGTATTATATTTTTTTTCTTTCTTTTTCTTCTTCTCTTTCTTTCTCCCAGATCGCTTGAACGCAATTAAAGAATTATTCTCAAAACCCAAATATTTTTCAGCTCTAAATAATTATCAAATGGTTGACAAACCGTAAAAAACAAATCATATATTTATGAATATTTCCTTTCAGCCTGCCAACTTTTGCATGGTGCCACAGTAGATTTCGGTCATTAATAATTTGAGCATGAATCTTGTTTCCAGAAAAGACGGGTTGAATCGGTCGCCTCGGCCGGAAAGGACGTAGACTTGGTGACGAAATTCCAATTTACTACCAGTGTACAGTCATCTGTTCAATATCTCAGTAAATGTTTTGTTTTAGTGGTTATATTAAGTCCGTGATCCTTGAAGTATTTGAAGGGTTTTTTTTTATGTTATCTTCCTACGTAACATCAATCCACAACAAACAGACCTGTTAAGGAAAAAAAAACTCTTCAAATTCTCCAAGCATCACGGACTTAATATCACCACAACACCAACGCCAAAGTGATCAACTTTCTGGACACTAGTTTCGATCTATCCAGAGGTGTGCACATGCCTTATACTAAAGAGCTTTATAACCATATATGCATTAACAAAGAATCGAAAAACCCACCAGGAATTCTAAATAATTTGCACAAATCTGTACAACACAGTGTCTCAATCAACTCCGGCAACAAAATTATTATCGACAAATATAAAACTAATTATATCGATGCACTAAATAAAAGTAAACAAAATTAAACCAGAATATATTCCAAGCATTAGTAAGAATATCAATAACAAACGTAAGAATAGAAAATGCAACATAATTTGTTTCAACCCACCTTTTAATAGCAATGTCAAAACAATCATCGGTAGGATTTTCCTAAATTTAATCCACGAACATTTCAGCCATAACCCTTTACACAACAAAATTTTCAATAAGTACAATATTAAGATTAGTTACAACTGCACCTATGGAATGATGTACATGGTCAAAAACTCCTGCATAAATCATGGTGAAAGATAGAAATTCTGTGGTGTGCTGAGACAACCACACTTTACACCCTTTCCTACACACTGCTATAAACAAGAGAGGTGAGCAAGAGCGTTATAAACTTTGTGTGTATGCACTACAGAGGTTAGTCAATCTGTGACAAGCGGCTTCACTTTGCTAAGACCCACGATGCTACGCATATTTTAGCGTACCATTCTCATTCCTTTCGTATCCCATGTGCAACTTCTTAGAAGAAACAGCTGGTCTGTGGAACCAACTCTCAAGAGGAAGTTTCTCCGATCACTACAATCTTGAACTGTTCAAGTCTAAGGTTAACCGTCATCCTCCCTACATATCCTCATAAACTGTGCCTCTTATTGTGTAAACCTCAACTTCGAGTGGCTCCGAGACTTGTACTGGGTGAGCATCATAGGGTATGAGGGTATTTGTGAATTTGTTTGTCGGTTCAAACCTCACGCAGCCATAATCACCTGAATCTACAGCAAACCATTTTCAATCGCAGCAAAACGCTCTGATGGAGCAAATGAAAATACGATTCAAGATTTCGTCGAAAATATTTTCCACGTCAAAACAGACAGAATTTTAAGCAAACGGTATCAAAGACCTGTTTGCTAAGTGGTTAACAAGTCATTGCAAATAATGGTGAATATGTAATTGAAGAAAATAATCGTTATTTTTAAAAATAAATTTGATAAACGAAAAAGACAAATTATTAAAGATGTAAACTAATGCACCGGTTTATACATACTTTTACCTACCTAAATTATGTGACATACCTGGTTTGCTCTGGAGTAGAAAAAACCCTGACAGAGGTATTATATTAAACATAAACGAAAATGAAAGGGGGCAAATCTCTAATTATCCCACAGTCACATCCAAATATTCGGGCTCAATTTAAAAACAGGATACCGTTTGTAAGAGTTGAATGGCCAAAATACCGTATAAAAGTTCCAAACTTGTGATTTAATAATCAATGTAAAGAAAATAATGTGTTGTCACGCTTAAATTAGCTAGAGAAGTTATCATGTTTCTGAAGCGAGCAAAAAAATATCCCCAAAAGTAACATAAAACAAAAAAATAAGTAATGGCAGGAAAATAAGACGAAAGCCTATTTCTAGTCATAATGAAGTAACGGTGAATGTACCGGAACAAGTCTGCATTAGTCTATGTATAATTCTGGAACACGCCTAGCAATTGGATGTTCGTGATTTAGCTTTGGATGGAGAAGCTGCTGTAACGATTAGATACGAGGTTCGTGTCGCATCTTTCCTCCTGTTTATACTTTTTCCCTTCACTCTCTAACTATGTTTTGTTCATTGTTAGAGTCGTCTGGTCACGTTTCTCACCGCAGACGATTCCCATTATTAGAATCAGGCAATTTTTATTTAGAGCCGTTCACATTTTTTCTCTTTGTTTTGCAGATGCTGTCTAACATCGCGAGTTCAAAAAAAAAAAAAAAAAAAGAGAGAGAGAGAATATAAAGAAGGTAAAAAACAAACAAACATATATACTTGAATAAGTAAAACAGATTGTGCTTTCATTAGAGAATTTTGCAAACTTTCTATTTGGAAATATTTGAAAATACCACTTCTTTTTACGCAGTTTTCTATCAGAAAGAAAAAAATATAAAACAAAAGAAAAAAAAAAGATATTCTTTATAAAATGCGATTTACGATTTTACTGTGGTTAATAAAGGCATCCATGTCCGATTTGTTTCAATTATTAACATTCTTTTCATTTTTAGAGAAAAGAAAACCATGAAATTCTCCATATTCCTTATCCGTATTATCCTTAAAATTTAAATCAAAATATTTTCGGTTTAATGAAACGGGGAGATTTATTCAACCACTAAACAGCGGCCATGATTAATTGAGTTTTCATGTGAGATGAGAGGATATAATCAATTCACGGTTTAAATGATGTTTTCCAACTATAAGGACATCATTAATTCAAGATTCGAGTTCTCAATCACTAATTAGTAACAGTAGGAGTATTCAGGTTACTATTATTTATTAGGATTAGTATTTATCAATCCACCCACGAGGATAGAATGTGACACAAGGCCGGTTTAATGTGGGTATCTCCGAGCCCGTATGCTCGGCCAAAAATATACCCTTTGAACCCGCCTAGACGTGTTCAGGCCCTGTCTACCTCCCCGAACGAAACCTTGCCCTTCGTCAAAGCTTCGTCCGGGTTCCTCTCTGCTAATGCAGTGTTCGACGGACGCCGACTCGGAAGCTCACAAAGGCAGCGTACTACACTTTGATCACTGCCCCCGGGCCGAGCAGCTTATTTATTAGGATTCAATTCATTAGGTTGTATTCTTTGTGGATTTGCATGCAAACCAAGCTGGATGAGCAAGACAAGAGAGTGATATATCTTTTCGCATAATTTATTGATGAGAAAAGAAGCAGAAAATGAAGAGAAATTTGCATAGAATACTTCAAGAAGTATCATACTATTAAATATATTAAATTGAGGAAAGTATTTGATTTGGTATGATTTTTTTTTTAATTTTATAACATAAATGAAGAAAATATACTTTTAATACCTTTGGTATATCATTAAAACAGATATATACATAAAAACTAAAAAAAAAAGATTTAAATCTGACTTTGAAAGTAAGCATAAAAGAAACTTACAAAATTAATTTCTCTTTCGTCTACAAATGTACCTGTCGTTTAATGATTATGCAAAGAAAAGCATATAAAAAATTGTATTTTTATATACCACCTATTAACTTTCTCATGACGAATTTCATACCATCATAATATAATGTTTGAACTGGCGAGTAATTCTGAACTATTTAGGAACAAACATTAGAACAATGCATAACTTTTGGGAGAGAACGAATGGAAAATGTATTTAGTAGATGCAGAGAACTAGAATATGACAAAGATGTGTTTCTCACTAGAATTATGAAATCCCCCTGCAGTATGGTGATCGTTTTAAGAAGCTTTCGAGAAATTAGGAAGAACATCAAATTTTGATTGATAATTTAAATTGAAATAATAAATGAAATAAAATTATTCAAAGTCGAAACTTTCGAAGAAAATTAGATTCGATGATCTATCTAAACATGTTTCCTTTAAAAGAAACATGTTTAGATATATCATACAATGTTTTCTAATTAGTTTCAGTTTTCATAAGTGATTACTAAAAATACCTAAATTCATATGGATAATATTACGCCTATATGAAATTTTAAACTGTCCACGCGTTGGTATATATATATATATATATATATATATATATATATATATATATATATATATATATATATACATGAATTATTCATACAAAAACTAATGCAAAGGTTAATGATTTAAATGGCGAGACATCCATCATCGCAAACAATTCAAATAATATACAAAAACCTCCGTATCCGTTATGAATGAAATGATTCTTGTTTATATAAATTTCTGCCGTATTAGTTCTTATTTTTACTACAAACTTTCGTCTGTTCCTACAGACATCTTCAGGTATAGAATAGATGTTGTTCTTGTTTTTTCTCTTAGTTAAATCATTAACCTTTGCATTAGTTTTTGTGTGAATAATTCATGTATTTGTAAATTGATTGCACGTTTATCGTAATATATATATATATATATATATATATATATATATATATATACAATAAAAAATATATAAAAATTAAAAACTTCAGACACACTGGGTTGTAGATTAATATTCTTTTGTTTTCTCTCTCTCTCTCTCTCTCTCTCTCTCTCTATATATATATATATATATATATATATATATATATACAGAGAGAGAGAGATAGATAGATATACATATATAGATGGTTTTGAATGTAGAATAAAAAGATTTGAATGTAGAATAAAATGTTTTAAAAGCCTTTTAAAACTCTTTATTCAACTTTGATAAGATACCAGAAGTGTTGAAACCAAATGGCTATCTTATAACATATTTATGTTATAATTTTTGAATAATTTATATTTGCTCTATACTTGTATGTACACACACAAACACACACGAACACACATACACACACACACACACACATATATATATATATATATATAATTATTTTTTATAAAAAAAATTATAACATAAGTATGTTATAAAATCACTACAACAATAGCTCTACTTTGTATTGAGCACTCTTTTAAGAATAGTAATTGTTGGTTATTGGAATTTATTCCGTATGTACCAATTATATATATATATATATATATATATATATATATATATATATATATATATATATATATATAACATACATCATGTCAGCTTACTTTTGAATTGAATAATTTACAAACATTATAGCAGTTTATTTTTGTTATAACCCTTTCATATTCACAAATGATTTTCCGTATATTTCAACTGAATTTCTTGCATTATTCATTTGTAATATACGGAAAAATATTCGTTAATATTAAAGGATTATGCTCAAAATAAGTAAGCATAATATTTGTAATTTATTCAGACATGCCTTAAAAAGAATTTGCTGCCTAAATACACAGACATAAATATGTATGTATGTATGTATGTGTGTGTGTGTGTGAATGTGTGTGTGTGTTTGTATGTTTGGGTGTTACTGCGCGTGTGAGCGGAATAAATATGCATTGACATTTTTCTCATGAATATATGTAATATTCATTTTCATATTATAAAGGTCTATTGTCATTAGATTTTAACATTTAATTTCAAATAATCGTCTCCAGTTAATGGCACCTTCTTTCAGAGTTAATGTTCAGAGTTGCACAGGACCGGGAAGCAGCACTATTAAAAAGTTTTCAATACACGTGTGAAAGAAATATAAATAAAATAGTAAATTATATAGATATTTTATAAATGTTTTCTATGTTCGAGTGTTTTGACTATACTTTTAGCCATTATCTAGAATAAATTGAATTATTAATTTTAAGTTAATCTTCTAGATTGTTTTATATATGTACCTAGATATGTAGGAATGTTTTATTTTCCAACAGCGTTCAGCACATTGTGGCCTTTCGTAGATGATTTTATTGAATGTTGCCTTTTTAAGTTTTTTATTATTATTAATTATATTAACACATAAAAAATGAAATAGAAAACTCAAACACAGTACATTGCCAGTCGTTTTTACTGAAACTCATAAAAGAAAGAGTAGAGAAAGCTGAAACAATTGTCGGAGGAGTGATAAGGTTGGAGATTGATTTTTCGCTGTATTCTGATCAATTGGAACCCAAATTAAGACTGACAGCTGAAAGAAAAAGAATACGTCATTTACTGGGGGCTTACCACCCAAGAGATACCCAAGGAGATGAGAAGGGTGGCAGAACCATATCCAACTGTATCTAAGCCTTTAATTGCATATCCCATCTTAGTGTTTTCCCTGGAATCACTTTATTTTATAAAAATTATTTCTCTCGCTCGCTCTATACAAAAGAAATGATAGTTTTCTCGACATATTGTTGGCCGCGTTGTTCTAGGAGTGTAGGTTACATGAATGATTATATTCACGGTTTTTACACAATACAAAATTTGTCACCGACACCTTTTCTCCTCCTTATATGCACCGCCAAGCCACTGGTTTCTAAATATATGTATTTGAAAAGACAAAATGTATGTCCAGAGGAAAATATTTTATACCAAAGAGTTTCGTTAACTGAAGAGCTTTATCAAGGCAAATGAAGTTTACGTATTTCGTAAACAAATCTTTATACAGATAGAAAAGAATGAGGTTGAAATAAATAACTTCATGTCTTCAAATCTGAATTAGAGAAGGCTTTAAAATATTTGATTGATTCATTGCGTTAAAGCAATAAATGGAGTGTTGAGTACCTCATAATTTACTACCATTCCTTGATTTAACAGCGGGGAATTTTCTGCTATTTAAGGGCATTAATTGATTACAATTTGAGCACATGAACTGATATTTGTCAAAGTTACAGTTTTGGTGGTTATGAATGCAGCTTTCGATTTCTAAAAAAAATCTCTACATTTGCATGTACGAAGTTCTACAAGTAACGAAATACGTTAGTATAATTTTTTCCTGATATATATATATATATATATATATATATATATATATATACAATTATTAGTTTTCAAAAATTATTGTATAAACATGATATAACATCACTATACCAATAGCCATAATAGCCATTTTGTTTTAGAAATTCTGGTGTCTTCACAAATGATGGTGTTGAAGAGACCAGAAGTGTTGAAACGAAATAGCTATTTTGTAGTGAAGTTATAATAGGTTTATGTTATAATTTTTGTATGAATGCTAATATTTAGTCTAATCTGTATTGAGCACTCATTAAAGAATATCGTTTCCGGTTATTGGAATT